TTATCATCCCCATTTTACAGATAAAGAAACCAAGGATTTGGAGAGGTGGATCTGGAAGTGTCAGGATTTGGTTTTGAACTCAAGTGTGATTGCCTTCTGGGGTCAGTAGGGAGCACTGCTGTGCAGGTGCAGAGGGGAGGGCGGATGTTCAGAGGGTTCAGGTAGCACAACTCAGAGCTGCCTGGGGCCATTTATAACAGACGCCCAGGGCCAGCTCCGGTGCAGTCAGTGGAGTGGATCAGAAGAAACATGCACTTGGTGTAATACTCTGCCTGAGCCGTCTTGAACTTGGAACAAGGGGCTCCATGTATTCATTTTGCACTGGGCCCGGAAGATTGAGTGGCTGGTCTTGCCTCAGGCTTTATACTACATTATAGTGGGTCCCCAAGGACATTATAGCAGGATCCTGGAGAGCCCAAGTGAAAGTCTAAGGGTGTTGTAATAGTGCCCTGGGGACATGATAGCAGGACCCCAGGGGATCTAAAGGGTATAGTCAGGGATCATTAGAGCAGGACCCTGAGAATATGATGGGAGCCAGCTGGGGGATTGTATAAGTGGTCCCTGGAGACATCACAGGACCCCAGGTCATCTAGAAGAGATTCCCAGTGGGCATTAAGGGGGCTTGGGACATTTTTCTTTTATAGAAGGAAGGAGGGACATTATAGGCAATGTTAGGGCAGACCCCAAGAGATCTCATGGCTAAACCCTGAGGCCATTATAACAGGAAGGACAGGAGATCAAAATGAGGACATTACCGCAGGTGCAGGGGAGGCATCCCGGATGACCATGGTGAGCAGAGTAATGGCCCCCAAAGACATCCACACACTAATTTCCCAAAACCTGTGAATTCCTTACCTCACATGATAAAAGGGACTTTGCAGATCTGATTAAGTTAAGGATCTCGAGACAAAAATAATCTTGGATTATCCACGTGGGCACAAAATATAATCACATGGGTCCTTATAAGAGGGAGGCAGGAAGGTCAGAGTCAGAAAGAGAAGATGTAAGGACAGATGCCGAGGTCAGAGAGGAGAGAAGATGCCACACATTGGCTTTGAAGATGGAGGAAGGGGCCACGAGCTGAGGAATGCAGGTGGCCTCTAGAAGCTGGAAAAGGCGAGGAAACAGATTCTCCCCTAGAGTCCAGAAAGAACACAGCCTGGTGGACAGCTTTAAACTTCTGACTTCCAGAACTGTAAGAGAATAAAATTTGTGTTATTTTAAGTCACAAAGTTTGTGGTAATTGGTTACAGCAGCAATAGGAAGTTAATACAATGCTTCAGGGCCCTTGTGGGATCCCAACACCTGTGAGTAAAAGCCCAGGGGTATTTTCACAGAGCCCTGTAGAATATTTTGATGGTTCTAGGGGACACAGTATAGCAGACCCTTAGTATTTCTTTTTTTTTTTTTTCCTTTTTGTCTTTTTTTCGTGATCGGCAATGGATCGCAACCCTCAGTGTCGCTCCGGAGTGGGTTTGGGGAGCCCCTCCCAGATTTATAATGGAAACCAAAGGAATTAGAACATGCTCCTTAGGCCGGCCCCGGTGGCGCACTCGGGCAGTGAGTGGAGCAGGGTGCTGGGCATGGCTGTGGGATCTGAGACCGTGCTAACCGGCCAAGAAGTGTCATAGCCTATAGGGACATCGTATTAAGGCTCAAGAGAGCATTTAGGTGAATTCTGGGGTGACTGAAAGTGAGACATAAGTTATCTGACATACCAGAGGTTTGGGGACATTTTAGGAGGACCTCAGAGTATGTAAACAGAGCAACTGGGATATTAAAGCAAGGCCATTTGTGTATCATAGGTGGGTCCAAGGAGTGCCACAGGAGTCCTGGCAATGCTATAGCAGGGCCCTCGGGACACTAGAGCTGAGGCAGGTTTCTACAGCAGGACCCCACGGGGATGGCATTTGAGCTTCAAGGAAAAGTATAGCAAGGTCCTGAGGGCGCTGTAATGGGACATTGATCAGGGTCCAAGGAACATTACAGTAGAGTCTTGGAGGGGGGTTAAAGGGGGACCCCAGGGGTTGTTGGACAGTGTCTCAGAGACATTACATCAGAATCCCAAGGAAACAGAGGGGACAACTAAAGTCACGGCAGGTTCTCCAGGCATTTTAGGGAGGAGCTAAGGATGCTACAATAGGATTCATGGGACACAAAAGCGAGATGCTTTCACACCATTACAGGTGGCCCCTTAAGGTGGGTCTCAGTGCCCATTCTAGTGGGACGCAGGGAGAGTAACAAAAATGAACAAAATGGGCTGGCCAGTTAGCTCAGTTAGTTAGAGCATGGTGTTAACAGCAAGGTCAAGGGTTCAGATCACCCTACTGGATAAGCCACCAAAAAAAAAAACCACCACGAAAGTTCCTCACTAAATAGAACATAAATAAAAAGAAAAAAACCCATAGATTTACCATATGCAGTGGCTAGTTTTATGTGTCAATTTGGCTGGACCACAGTGCTCAGATATTTGGTCAAACATTATTCTAGATGTTTCTGGATAAGATCTACATTTATTTATTTGTTTTTTGTTTGCTGGCGGGAACAGGGATCTGAACCCCTTACCTTGATGTTATCAGCACCACGCTCTAACCAAGTGAGCTATCTGGCCATCCCAAGATTCACATTAAAATTGGGGGACAGCATTTAGAGGCACTCAGAATGGTGCAGTGACTGACAGACCGTCGTAAGCTTTCCTACAACGCAGCCTCTAACAAAACTAGACTGTCCCGAACCTCTGGTAATCGAATCGTTTACCTTTATGTCAAGAAGGTTGGGGAAGCACCAAAATCTCTGCATGTGGCGCGAGTCCAGGCAGGCTTTGAGGGGGTTTGTGCTGTGAGACCTAAAGTTCTTTTTTTTTTTTTTTACAGAACCTTTTTTTTTTCAATGGTTTTTAATAGATTTGCCTCTTTTGGACATATGACCTGAATAGGATCATATAATACGTGGTCTTTTTTGACTAGTGGAATCTTTTGAATCCAGTCTCTATATACCAAATTCCTATGCATACTTTTTTTTTTTTTTCAAAAGATGACCGGTAAGGGGATCTTAACCCTTGGCTTGGTGTTGTCAGCACCAAGCTCAACCAGTGAGCCAACCGGCCATCCCTATATAGGGTCCGAACCCGTGGCCTTGGTGTTATCAGCACCGCACTCTCCCGAGTGAGCCACGGGCCGGCCCCCCATGCATACTTTAAGTCCCCTTCTCAATACCCCCGCAGCCTTTCTTGCACCTTTCAACCTATAGAAATATTTTTTGCTTATTAATTCACTCGGCATCGCCTGCATGGCCCATCTGCTGATGCCGCACTGTTTGTTCTCTAACTCTTCCTGTGGAACCCTCACTTCTGGTTTCTTGGAGGTAGCATCTTGGTGGCATACTTCTTGGGCTCCCCCCGCTCAACTGTGCCCGGCATAGTTTTCTGCTTGAAATGGGTAATCAGTTTATATATATTGAAAGAATAAATGGCTCATGGGGATGTTCCCAGACTTTTAGGAAAAAAGGATTTAGGAGAAAGTGCATGAAAGAAAGCAAAATGAAGAACAGGAACAAAGGTAAAGTGTGGAATGTCCTAAAGTTCTTATGAAGTTGTCTAAAATGAAAACCATGTCAGCGGGGCCTGTGGTGGCTCCATGTGTGCTAAATGTGTCCGTGACAGGATCAAACGCACTCTCCTTATTGAGCAGCAGAAAATCGTGGTGAAAGTGTTGAAGGCACAAGCACAGAATCAAGAAAAAAAAAAAAAGCGAAGTTTTTTTGAGTAATCAAAATCAAAAGGCTAAAAAATAAATACAATCAGTACCGCAGGGTGCTCTCCTTTATGTGGGCAGGCCTGATCAGCTCAGCTGCGGGCCTGGACAGAGCAAAAGCCCCTCCTGTCCGCCGCCCCCAGCAGACTTTGCACGGCTAAGTCTCCACAATCCTATAAGCCGATTCCTTAAGATAAATCTCTACGTACGTCTGTACACACCCTATTGCTTCTGCTTCTCTAGAGAACCCTAACATATGACCCAGCAGTTCCACTCCTGGATATATACTCCAAAGAATGTAAAACAGCTGTTTTAAAAAAAAGTACACAAATATTCATAATAGTATTATTCGTAATAGCCAAAAAAGTGGAAACAACCCAAATATCCATCCACTGATGAACAGACTTAGCCATTAAAGGAATAAAGTACTGATACGTGCTGCAGCAGGGATGAACCTTAGAAACATGCTGAGTGGAAGCCAACAGACAAAGAAGCCATAATATTATTGCACGATTCCATTTATATGAAAAGTCCGGAATAGGCAAGTCTATAGAGACAGAAAGCAGATTGCTGGCTGCCTGGGGCTGGGGGGTACGGGGACAGCTTAATGGGTACGGAGATTCTGTTTTAGGTGATGAAAAAGTTCTGGAACTAAATAGTGGTGACAGTTGCATAATGCTGTGAATGCACTCAATGGCACTCACGGTGAATCTTATGTCTTGTGTATTTTACCACAATAAAACCAATGAATGGAGGCATTCTAGCAGGAGTGTGGGCTGGGAGAGAGGGACTGGGGGGGGCCTCTAAGCAAACTAGCAGTCTACGAGGACTGTGGTCCTTGAAGTCATAGCAGAAGGACACTAACGAACAACTGCAGGAGCATTGCAAGGACGCTTGCGGGAGGGGTTCCAGAGAGGAAATATGGAGGCATCTGGAGAGGCTGCTTTATAGCAGGAGCTACTGAAGGCCATAGGGTGTGTCCTAAGGTAAAGAAGCTCCAGAGATCTCTAAATTCTGGACTCTGAGAGTGTTGGCTTTCATTCCCAGCTTTGTCATGAATTTGCTGGGTGGCTGACACCCTCAAAATAAAAAATAGAGAGCAACAGAGAAAGAGACAGAAAAAAAAAAAAAAGAAAAAGACAAGTTTTAAGAGAGAGACAAAGGCAACAGAGGCCGGGCCTAGGGCCTGGGGTGTGCCCTGCAGCTGGGGGGCGGGGTCGCATGTTCTTGGAGTCAGGGGAGCAGTCTCCGGACAGGATGTGAGAGAGGAACTGGGGTCTCCAGTCACGGGAGCCAGCCAGGGCTGCAGGCGGGAAGGGAACGTGGCTGTGAGCAGATCGGGGGCCCACACTGAGGGAGGAGGGGCTGGGGGCCCGGACTCCTGGGTCCGAGGGAGGAGGGGGCTGGGGGTCTGGACTCCTGGGTCCGAGGGAGGAGGGGGGCTGGAGGCCGGGACTCCTGGGTCCGAGGGAGGAGGGGGGCTGGAGGCCAGGACTCCTGGGTCCGAGGGAGGAGGGGGGCTGGGGGCCCGGCCTCCTGGGTCCGAGGGAGGAGGGAGCTGGGAGTCCAGACTCCTGAGTCTGAGAGGCGAGGGCGCTGGGGGCCTGGATTCCTAGGTCGGAGGGAAGAGGGGGCCGAGGAATCGTGAGTCTGGAGGAACAGGAAGCTGGGAATCCCAGTTTCTTCTTTGAGGTAAAAGGAAGCTGTAGTCCCAGATTAAAAGTTCCTTTGTCCTCTCCTCCCCCGCAGTATGGGGGCACCCAGTACAGCCTTGTGGTGTTCAACACGGTAGACTGCGCTCCCGAGTCCTACGTACAATGCCACGCTCCCACCAGCAGCGCCTATGAGTTTGTCACCTGGCTCGATGGCATTAAGTGAGCTTTTCCCCCCACTTGGAGTGGGTTGGGGGACCCTGTGCGGACCGTGAATGGGTTTGAGCTGCAGGAACCATTTCCTCACATTGGATGGCTGAAAGGACTGTGAGGGTGATTTTGTTTTTGTCCATAAGTCGTTTCTCTAGTGGGTTCTGTGTGCTTAGCAATATTGCCTTCCAGGTCCGCGGGAGGCGGAGGAGGCGGGCCGAGCTCCAAGAAAGGGATCTCAGCCTATCCAGTTTCTGTAATTATTAACCAACACGGATCAAATTACGGGTGAAAGTTCGCCGAGGAGCCGGGCATTGTTGTCATCCTTGATCGAGCCCCCGAACCCAAACCAGCGGGCGTCCTGGTCTCGGCAGTGCCCACGGGTGCCCCACGAGGCAGGGGCGGGGCGGGGGTCCGGAGGAGTCACGTGCCCCCTCCCGCCCCAGGTCGCCCTCTCAGCATGGGGATCCCCTGGCCACAGCCCTGGGCGCTCCGTCTCCTGCTCTGCCTCCTGCCTGGGACACTGGGCGCAGGTGAGGGGCCGCCCCGGGCCTGGGCCGTGGTCGCGCGCGGGCGGCGGAGAGGAGGGAGGTCCTGAGGCCTGGAAAGAGCAAAGGAGCCCGGCACTTCCCCCAGGCACTTCACTGTGTTTGTCACTTTCCTCGGTCTTGGTCTCTGTCTGGGAACCACCTGTCGCCTTCTCTCTGGGTCTCTGTCCCCCTCCCTGTGGATCTGTTTTTCTCTCTCTCTAGATCTCTGTCTCTCCCTCTCTCTCTGGTCTCAGTCCTCTCCCTCCCACCCCTCCCTGCCTCTGTCCCCCTCCTTCCGGATCTCTGTTCCTCTCTCTCTAGGCCTCTGTTTCCCTCTCTGGGTCTCTCTCCCTCTCCCAGTGGATTTCTGTTCCCCTCTCTTAGGAGCTCTGCCTCTGTCTCTCTGGGTCTGTCTCTCTTTCTCTCTCTGGGTCTCTGTCCCCCTCCCTCTGAGTTTGTCCCTCTCCCCCTTGGGTTGTCTTCTCTCTCAGGGTGTCCAGGTCCGGCCTAGGTCCCCTCCCCACCACCATATGCTTTCCTCACCTCTGCCTCTCTCTGCAGAGAACCATCTCTCCCTCCTGTACCATGTCACCGCAGTGTCCTCCCCTGCCCAGGGTACTCCTGCCTTCTGGGTATCTGGCTGGCTGGGCCCACAGCAGTACCTGAGCTACAGTAACCTGCGGGCCGAGGCTGAGCCCTATGGGGCTTGGGTCTGGGAAAACCAGGTGTCCTGGTATTGGGAGAAAGAGACCACAGACCTGAGGAACAAGGAGAAGCTCTTTCTGGAAGCTTTGAGAGTCCTGGAGGGATCAGGTGAGACTTGGACTCCTGGGTCTGAGGGAGGACGGGACTTGCTCCTGGGTTCTGCTTACCTGTGTGAGGGCTCCCCAGGTCCCTACACCTTGCAGGGTCTGCTGGGCTGTGAATTGGGCCCTAACAACGCCTCAGTGCCCACGGCCAAGTTTGCCCTGAATGGCGAGGAGTTCATGCAGTTCAACACCACGGCGGGCACCTGGGAGGGGGACTGGCCCGAGGCACAAGCCATCAGTAGCCAATGGATGAAGGAGGCCGAGGTGGTCAGCAAGGAGAGGACCTTCCTGCTCAACTCCTGCCCCCAGCGGCTACTGGGGCACCTGGAAAGGGGCCGTGGAAACCTGGAGTGGAAGGGTGAGCGGCCTTCCCAGTCTCGGGCTTGTTCCTCCCTCCCCATCCCCACGGCCTGGCCCTCCTCAGTTCCCTTCCCTGGACTCTCACCCCAGCCTCCTTCCTGTCTTTAGTCTCCCCACTGCAGCCAGTAAGCCCCACATTCCCAGAGGACCTCTCTACATCCAGAGCAGTACGGCCGTCCCCTGCTCATGTCCCTCCCATGCTCCCCAGCACCCCCAGGACAAAGTCCCAACTGCCTTGCCTTAATGTCCTTATCAGACACATCCAGCTGCACTTGTCTCTACCTGCCCATCAGAGTCTGCACTCCAGTTCCCCTGCCTGCAGTGCCCTCCTGCCTCCCTCTGCGTATTCCAACCCTCCTTGTTCTGTAAGGCCCAGGTTGGATATCAGCTCCGAGAAGCCTTCCCTCAACTCTGTAGGTAGAGCCTGCTGTTTTTCCCCAGAAGCCCCTATACCCCCATTCAGTCAACAAATATTGGCTGAGTGCATTCTCAGTGCCAAGCACTGTAGAGGGCCCTGGGAAGGAAGGGAAGGGGGCACCACGTTCACTGTCCCGTGGCTCCTAGGCTTCTGGAAAAGGTCATTTGGGGAGTTGCACGGATATTCATTCCCAGGGCCATCAAGGACAAGGTGGGACTCAACCAGGTAGTTTTTCTACTATATTTTCCTTTCTTTTTTAATTATAGAAAATTTCAAGCCACACATAAGTAAAGAGAATAGTACAACGAGCCCCCCATGTGTCCCCATCGCTGAGTCTCAATAATTGCCAATCCGTGATCGTTCTTATTTCACCTACCTCCTCCCCCATTTCTCCACCCCACTGCAGATTAAGTTTTGGTAAGTCTCAGACATCAGGGTATTTTGTTTATAAATACTTCTGTATGTAACTGTACTAAGTAAGGTGTCTTTTTTTTTTTTTTTCCTTTTTTTGTCTTTTTTACTGACCGGTAACGGGATCGCAACCCTCGGTGTTGCGCCCGCACCGCGCTCAGCCAGTGAGCGGGAACTGGTCTCCACATGGGATCCGAACCCTCGGCGGGAGCGCCGCCGCACTCCCAAGCGGCGCACTCTCCAGTGCGCCACCAGGCCGGCCCAGTAAGGTGTCTTTTAAAAAAAATGAATAAATCCTCTTACTGGCCAGCCGGAAATAAAAAGTTGATCACAAAATCATTATCACGCCTGCAAGTAATTAACTATAATTTGTTAATGTAATCAGGTATCCAGTTCCTATTCATATCTCCCTAATTGTAAATGCTTTTTAAGTTTGAATCAAGATTCACCCGAGGTCCAGATATTTCAATGGGTTGATTTTCCCTTTGGTATCTTTTTCTTATTGTTGAGTTTTGAGTTCTTTGCATATTTTGGATACCAGTCTTTTATTAGATAGATTTTTTTTGCAAATATTTCCTCCAGTCTGTGGCTTGTCTTTTCATTCTCTTTTTGTTGTAGTTATTGTTTTGTTTGTTTTGGCAGCAGGCCTGTATGGGGATCTAACCCATGACCTTGGTGTTCTAAGGCTGCGCTCTAATGTGTTTTCATTCTCTTAACAATGTCTTTCACAGAGCTGAAGTTTTTCTTTTTCTTTTTTTTTTTTTTAAAAGATGACCGGTAAGGGGATCTTAACCCTTGACTTGGTGTTATCAGCACCGCACTCTTCCAAGTGAGCCACGGGCCGGCCCAGAAGTTTTTCATTTTAATGAAGACTAACATATCCATTTTTTCTTTCATGGGTCATGTTTTCGGTGTTGTATCTCAAAAGTTTTCACCAAACCCAAGATCACCTTCTCCTATGTCATCTCTAGGAGTTTTTTTGTTGTTGTTGCTAAGAGTTTTATAGTTTTGCATTTCACATTCCAAGTTAATTTAAGTTTTGTGATCTTGAGTGTCTTTTAATCTATAGGTTTCCCTATTTCTCTCTCTCTCTTTTTTCCTCGTAGTTTTGCTTTGAAGAATGTCAGTTGTTTGTCCTGTTGAGTTTTGCAAGGCTGGATTTTGCTGTTTGCATCCTTGTGATGTTGCTGAACATGGTCTTCTTTCTGTTCTCCTGTAAAGTGGTGGTTCAGTCTAAAAGCTTGATGTGATTCTGGTTCGATTTTTGTGGCAAGAAAACTTCCTGGGTGGTTGTGCATATGTCCACGTGCAATTCCAGAGGCCAGAAGTCTGAGATCAAGGTGTTGGCAGGGTGGGTTTCTTTTGCAGTCTCTCTCCTTGGTTTGTGGATGGCTGTCTTCTTCCTTGGTCCTTACATGATCTTCCCTCTGTGTGTGTCTGTGTCCTGACCTCCTCTTCTCATAAAGACACCAATCATAATGGATTAGTATATCCATCATCTCAAACATTCGTCATTTCCTTGTGTTTGTAACATTCGAAATCCTCTCTACTAGCTATTTGAAATTATAAGTTATTGTGGACTGTAGAAACTATTTTTTTTTTTCCTTAAAGATGACCAGTAAGGGGATCTTAACCCTAGACTTGGTGTTGTCAGCACCACACTCAGCCAGTGAGCAAACTGGCCATCCCTATACAGGACCCAACCCCATGGCCTTGGTATTATCAGCACTACACTCTCCCGCGTGAGCCACAGGGACGGCCCTTCAAGTAACTTTAAAACACAGTAAATTGAGGGCCGGCCCATGGCTCACTCGGGAGAGTGCGGTGCTGATAACACCAAGGCCCCAGGTTGGATCCTTTATAGGGATGGCTGGTTAACTCGCTGGTTGAGCGTGGTGCTGACAACACCAAGCCAAGGGTTGAGATCCCCTTACCGGTCATCTTTTTAAATAAATAAATAAAGTTATTTGATTTAGGGGGCTGGCCTGTTGGCTCAGTTGGTTAGAACATGCCTTGTAACACCAGGGCCAAGGGTTCAGATCTCTGTACCGGCCTCAGAATCCAGAGGGGTCTTTGTTCACTCGTAGCTGACCCTGCCCCTCCCCTGCATACAGTCCCCTCTGGATACATACTCCATGTGCTTTTCTTTTTTTTAATGGAAGAATTAATCAGAAACAAAGAAAAATTGTTTCTCTCCCATCACTTTGTGGCTTGAAACCCTCCAATAGCTTCCTACTAGTCTTATGATAAAATCCACACTCTATTCCATGGCCTCCATGGTCCCGCTGCTTCCCACCACTGTGACTTCACAATGCCCCAGCTAGAGTGGTCTTCTCCCTTTCCTCCCACAGGTCAAGGCCTTTCCTTCCTCAAGGCCTTTGCATTTGCTCTTCCCTCTGCTTGGGGTTCCCTTTCTTGGGGTCTTGTCATGACTGTGTCCTTCCCATCCTAATTTAGCTTTAATCTTGCACGTCAGCTCTTCAGCAGAGCCGTTCCTGACCATCCTGGCTAAAATATGTCCTCACCCCACCCCGTTATTGTCCTTCATGTCACTGTTTGTTCATTTATCCATTATTGCTCTTTTAATTGTTTTTCTTTTTTTATTGAGATATAACTTACCAAAAAAAAAAAGGGGGCCAGCCCGGTGGCGCACTGCTACAGTGCGCTGCTTGTGAGCGCGGTGGCGCTCCCGCCGAGGGTTCGGATCCCACGTGCAGACCGGTTCCCGCTCACTGGCTGAGCGAGATGTGGGAGCAACACCAAGGGTTGTGATCTGGTTGCTGGTCCTGGTCCGGTGCGGGCGCGACACTGAGGGTTGCGATCCGTTGCCGGACACGACAAAAAAGGAAAAAAAAAAAAAACGAGATATAACTTACCTACTTGATCAGTTTTTACCCAAACCCATGTTACCTGCCTGCCCCAGATGAAGATATAAAACATTCCGGGCCGGCCCGGTGGCGCACTGCTACAGTGCGCTGCTTGGGAGCGTGGTGGCGCTCCCGCCAAGGGTTCGGATCCCACATACAGACCGGTTCCCGCTCACTGGCTGAGCGAGGTGCGGGTGCGACGCTGAGGGTTGCGATCCCGTTGCCGGTCCCGGTCCGGTACGGGCGTGACACTGAGGGTGGCGATCCATTGCTGGACACGAAAAAAGACAAAAAAAAAAAGATATAAAACATTCCTAGTGCCCCAGAAGACTCCTGTGTGTCCCCTCCCATTCAGCACCCCCCAAGGTTAACAACTATCCTGATTTCTATCGCCATTGCTATTTTGGGGGGTTTTTTGAAGTTTTTTTGGTTCCAAAATTTTGCATTTCTACCTGTTTTTGAACTTCATATACATGTGAGCATGTGCTCTTTTGCGTCTGGCTTCTTTCACTTGCCGTTGTGTCTGTGAGACTCATCTGTGTTGTCATGTTGGCAGTTCATTTGTTTTTATTCCATTGCATGGGTGATATCACAATTAATCAGTTAATCAATGGACCTGTAGTTTCCAATTTGGGGTGATTATGAATGCTATGAACATTCTTGTACATGTCTTTTAATGGATTCGTATTTTTATTTATGAATGGAATTGCTGGGTCGTAGGGTAGGCATACAATTAGTTTCAGTAGATAGTGCCAGACGTTTTCTTAAAGTGATCAAACGAGTGTACGCTCTCACTAGCAGCGTGTGAGAATTCCAGTTGCTGTACCACAGAGTCTGGTATTGTCTGTCTTGAATTTGAACCATTCTGGTGCGTATGTAGTGGTATCTCAGTGTGGTTTCATTTTTCATTATCTGATGACTAGTGATGTTGAGCACCTTGTCACGTGATTGGCTTCGTGAATGTACCTTTTTTTTTTTCTTAGCAGCTGGCCAGTACAGGGATCTGAACCTGTGACCCTGTGGCCTCGGTGTGATAGCACTGTGCTCTAACCAGCTGAGCTCACTGGCCAGCCCTGGAGCTCTATACCTACTGTACAACAATGCCCCATTTCCTTTCCCCTTAATCCCTGGCAGCCACCATTCCGTGCTCTGCTTCCAAGAGTTTGACTATTATACTGACTATTTATTGAGTATTTGGGGTCTGGCTGGTGAAAGTGGAAACATGCAGCGTTTGTCCTTCTGTGACTGGCTCACTTCACTTAGTGTCATGCCCTCGAGTGTTTGTTCATCTTGTAACATGAA